CATCAAATAGTTTTCACTGTGCTTTCCTTAAAAAAAGCAGCAGCCATTTACAGACAGCAAGGCAGGGAATGCACAGAGACACATTTCAAACCAACAAAGCACCAGAGCATCTCTGGACTGCTGCTGAGGAGGTGTGTTCCCGAATCTAAGAGAAGCACAAGCCTTAGAATCATAGAATCATTCGGGTTGGAGAAGACCTCTCAGATCCCCAGGTCCATCCCCAACCCACCCCCCCAAACCCACTGACCAAACCCCTCAGTGCCACATCCCCACGTTTTCTGAACCCCTCCACGGATGGTGACACCCCCACCTCCCTGGGCAGCAGTGCCACTGCATCACTGCTGTCTGTGAATGTTTTTTTTCCTAATATCCGATCTGAACTTCCCCTGGTGTAACTTAAAGCCATTACTTCTCATCTTTCAGTCTGCATGAGCAAGCCCTCAGTGTGGGGCAGAAGCCAGAGGCCGACAGCCCTCCTTCAGCCCTGCCACCTCACATCCACTCTAGAGTGGGCTCACAGCACAAGAAGTCATACAATTAATCACAGAATGGCCTGGGTTGGAAGGGACCTCAAGGATAACCAAGCTCCAACGCCCTGCCACATGCAGGGCCACAAACCTCCTCATTTGATACCAGCCCAGGCTGCCCAGGGCCCCATCCAACCTGGCCCTGAACACCTCCAGGGATGGACGGGGCACCCACAGCCTCTCTGGGCAGCTGTTCCAGCACCTTACTGCTCTCACAGCAAAGAACTTCCCCCTGACATCCAACCTCAATCTTCCTCTCCTCAGCTTCAAACCATTTCCCCTTGTCCTGCTGTTATCCACCCTTTTCAGGAGTTGACTCCCCTCCTGTCTGTAGGCTCCCTTTAGGTACTGCAGGCTGCACTGAGGTCACCCCGCAGCCTTCTTTTCTCCAGGCTGAACAAGCCCAGCTCCCTCAGCCTGTCTTTGCAGTGGAGGTGCTGCAGCCCCTGATCATCTCTGTGGCTCCCCTGCACCCTCTCCAACAGCTCCCCGTCTTGCTTGTCCTGGGGGCTCCAGCCCTGGACGCAGTGCTGCAGATGGGGCCTCACAAGAGCAGAGCAGAGAGGGACGGTCACCTCCCTGTCCCTGCTGCCCACCCCTCTGCTGATGGAGCCCACGATCCCGTTTGCTTTCCCAGCTGTCATCACACACTGCTGCCTCACGTTCAGCTTTTCATCCATCAGGACCCTCTCTGCTCAGCTCTCATCGATTAAACCAGCTGAGATATTCCAGAAGAGCTTTACCAGGTCCTGAGCCTTCACCACAGTGATCTGGACCACGTTTCTCAGTGACGGCAGTGTCTCGGGAGCAGACGCAGATGTCTCAGGAGGGCAGGACTCCATGGCAGATGGCCCCACTGGGACCTCCATGGCTCTGCAGGAAGAAGAATGAGAGAAACGTGGAAATGCTTTCTCCTTCAGCTGTGACAGGAGGGTCTGCCCACCGTTCTGAGGCGGAGGAAGACAAGGCGCCCTGCCAACGGCCATCCCTCAGCTCAACCCCAGACCTGCAGCCCACGGGAGGGCCAAAGGCAGCAGAGCCCTTCCCGAGATCTCAGTGCGGGCTTCCTGCAGCTCCCCGCGCCCCAGCACCCTTACCGCAGAGCCCGAGGAGCCGGGAGGAGACCTGGGCGTGTGGAGCGGCCAAAGAACCAACGTCAGCCCCGGGAGCCGGGCTCGGCGGCGGCGGGACGCGAACCCGGGTCCTCACCTGCCTCAGGGGCGTGCGGCGCCGCGTCTGGCTTCCCGTAACCACGGCAACCCAGCTAGTCTCGCGAGATTGCCAACATTCGCGAGATCTTAGCGCAGGGGAGCGTGTGCCAATCTCGCCGCCATCTTGGGTGTGGGCAGCCTTTGCCAAGCCCCTGTGGGGTTGGGGACCTGTCCCCAAACCAAATGTCAGCGTGTCCCCAGCACCCCCAGACTAATCTGCATCCTGTTCCCTGCCCTAGCAGTAGCCGTGGGGCCTGTCAGTCACTGAGCCTCACCTGTGGTTGGCTGATGGAGACCCTCAGCCCCCCTGCTCTGTGCCTCTTGGGGTGAGGCAGCGCCCTGCTCTAGGCATGGGTATCCAGGAGCAAAGGGCCAGGAGAAGGGCAGCCTGCCATCACCCTGCTGCTTTCCCACATCCCTCCCCATGGGGGTTGGCCCCCTTCCCTGGGAGGCGCTGACCAGAATAGCTTCGCTATCAGATGCCCGCAGGGAAGCCTGGCCTTCTTGGGGCTGACATTTGAGCTCAGCCCTCCCTTGGCAGGAGCAGGACGTTTGTGTGTCCGCCCCGGTCAGCACCCTGCTTCCAGGGACGGGCGCTGGGACACCCGCAGGGTCTCCTTGGGGAGCTGAGCAATCCCAGAGCCCCGTGTGCTGCAGCAGCATGGCCCAGCGGGGCCAAGGTGCAGGCCGCAAAGCCTCCAAGAAGTCTGCAAAGGAGCCGGCAGCGGCGAGGGCTCCTGACATGGACTCTCTGGGTTTCCAGGCCATGGACAGCAATGTGCCGGGGCTGTCCCACGTCATCCTGCAGAAGCTCAACATGAAGAGCTACGAGGACTACAAGTGAGTGGGAGCAGCCAGGGTGGGCTGTGTGGGTGTCGCATCCCCTGTTTCCCCCCCCCAGCCCTAGCTCCCCTCAGAGCAAAGTGACACACAGGGCTCCTTGTCCCCAGCCAGCCTGAAATCCTGCAGGCTTAGAGGGAGGACTCCCGCCTGGCTGAGATGGGACAGATCCTGCTCACCTCCTGATGTGTCTGGGCTTCCTTCAGGTCTGCCATGGATGGGAGGAAGAAGGGCAGTGACTTTGGCATCCGGACTTACTTTGACATGTTCCAGAAGATGGAGGACACCTTCAAGTTCTGCGCCGAGTGCAAGAAGCTCCCTGATGCCCTCCCTGATCCCAAAAGTCTCCGGCGATGCAAGAGGTATGGAGGAAGCAGTGCAATAGTGTGGGGCTGGATGTCCCCTGGCTCCCAAAAGGGCAAGCTTAGCCCAAGGACCAGGGTTGAGGCTGGGGGTGCCAGACCCATTGCAAGCTCGCTTGCCCCCAATGGCAATGCAGCCATTACAGGGTGGCTCAGTGGGTGTGATCCTGGCCACCCCCAAAGCTGGGCATGCTGCCTCTCTCCTCCCAGATGTCAAAACGTGTACTACTGCAGCGTGGCATGCCAGCGTGCCAACTGGCCTGTGCACAAAAAGTTCTGCAAGAAGCTGAAACTGGTGGCCTTGGACCGGCTGGTGGAGTGGCTCATCTTCACAGGTGGGTCAGGGGATGCTGCTCCCACTCCATGCATTCCCCACAGCCTACCCCCTGGGCGTGTGAGGTCCCTCCTCCTTGCTTTAGTCACCCCAAGCTGGCTCTGCCACTATATCCTGCAGCCACGGTGGGGACAGACAGCCTTGTCCTGCAGGACCACCACTGAGATGCCACTTTTCTGCCCCCAGGTGACATTCCCTTCCCCACGGAGACCTGGACAAAACCCGCTGGGGATGTGGCAGGTTGGGAGGACTGGTTCTCCATGCAGGAGCAGCTGGAGGAGAAGCTGGACTCTGTCCTGGCTGGGCGCTACATGAGCCTCCTCTGGGCCAACGCAGGCAAACCACGACCAGAGGATGGAGAGCTGCGTGAGTCTGTCCGGCGCCTCGTCACTGACTTCCACTCACGGCCACTCACCATCGGCCTGGGGCTGCGTCTGTTTGGCATCGATCCCCTTGCCAAGCCTCTCACCATTCACGTGGTGGGGGCGTCCCACGTTGAGACCCTCAACACCCGGGTGACAGACTATGATGAGCTGGCACGGATGTTCCCAGGCCAGCAGGGCATGGAGGTGGTGATGGTGGGGGTTGATGTGGTAGATGGACCCATCATGAGGCCCCCCTTGGCCACGTCGGGACCCCCGGGAAGGATCTATCTCAGCAGCTACAAGGGTCTGTACCACGACTTCTGGGAAGACCAAGTGGAGACCAAGATGGCAGCCCGCCCTGACCTGGTGGTGGGCTTCCACCCAGGTGAGTGCCCAGGGTGCAGAGCCTGAGGCTGCTGAGGACTTCAGGAGGTGCCCAGGGCTTGCCCTGGCTGTGCACCGAGCCACGATGGGCCACCACTCACAGTGGGTGACACTCTGAGGTTCAGACACCAGCAGCACCCAAAGGGGTCCCTGTGTTTGGGCTCTGCATCTCAGTTCTGTGGCTCAGCCCAGGACCTGGAGCCTGGCAGGGAACAGGACCTTTCCTTGCTAAGGGTGCTCAGTCCTTCTGACCTCAGCAAGATGGGGTCTGTGACACAGAGTGAGGCTATGCTTCATGCTGTGCCAGCTGGGCTCTGTGGGGTGAGGAGTACAAGCTGTGTGCCCAACTCACTGGTTGCATCCCTGCAGGTTTCCATGCCTGCCACGACCTCATGGCAGGCTGGCTGCCCACGCTGCTGCTTCTGCGGGACTACTGCCTGCCCACTCTCTTCACTGTCTACAGGTGAGTCTCTCAGCGTGCCCCCAGCTGGTTGCAGGGATGTCCCTATGGAGAACACCCCAGCTGAGCAGTCAAGAGTCCTCTTTTTCTCTCCTGGCAGTGAGCAGGAGCTGAAGTCCTCACTGCAGATCCTGGTGGAGCTGGAGACGTGCGTCACAGGTTATGCTGCCAACCCCTTTGCCTCACTGCGGCCCGAGCAGGTCTATTCCAGCCCCAACAAGGCACCTGTGTACTGCAGCTCTCACTATATCACCCTGCTGGGGCCAGCCACCTCTCTCAGGGAGCTGGATGGTGATAGCGATGATGACTAGCAGGGACAGGAGCTGTTTCTATCCGTGCAGCTGCAGGTATCGGTGAGCTGACCCAGCTCAGTCCTCTCTGTCCTTCCCCACAAACCCCAATCTCACTGCTGCCTTTCCCAGCCCAGCTGAAGTGTCCAGTGTGTGCCATGTGGGTGGACAGCACAAGCACAGCTCTGCACTGCAGGGCCCAATAAACCACCACCAGGAGCCAGTCACCATGTCTCCAGCTTTATTTCTGAAAAGGCCAATGTTTTCCCAAAGAAAACACAGGTCTGAACATGCCCTGGCACCCCTCGCACTGACACAGCTCTCAGCTGCAGGGCCTGGGGTTGCCCCAGTCATCCCATGGGGAACCCCGGGAGGTGGCACTGGGCTGTCACCGTCACTCCCATGCCCACCCTCCTGTGCCCAGTGCCTACCTTGCAGGGTGCTGCTCAAGCATCACTCCCCAAGCGCCGCAGTACTCAGGCTCAAGGGGCTGCACCAGGTGCCGGGATGCCACCATGGCCTGATGCTGCTGCCAGTGTCCCCTCCCAGTGAGCCAGCAGCTCCAGCACGGCAATGGTGACAGTGTCCCACCTGGGCTCCCACAGCGGCTCAGGGGTACCGACAACCCCACAAGGCTCCCACGTGCCCTGATGGCAGGTCCCCCCTTTGGGGTCAGCAGCTGTCGGAGGGGATGAGGTGGGTGGCAGGGCTGGCACGGAGGAGAGGACAGTCTGGCTGGGGAGGTGGCAAGGTGCAGCAGCGCGGTGCGGCATCACTCTGCGCTGGCACGTTCCCGCAGCGCAGGCAGCATCAGGGTCTCCGGCGCTGACTTCTTGCGGGGCCGAGCTTTGGGGGGGGCGAGGAAGTCGGGGGCGTCGTCGCCGAGAGGGGTGGAGGGGGCACTGGCGGGGGCCGAGTGAGTGGCTGTGGGCTGCCCCACCTCGCTGACCGAAATGGTGGGGGCCACCAGGCCGATGATCTCGTTGGTGGCCTCCTGCGTCTCTCTCTCGTACCGCCGCACCTCCTCCATCGTCATGCCTGCCGAGCACATGCGGGATCACAGCCACCTCTGGCAAACCCAGCGTCCCCCAGTCCCTCAAGGTGCCAGCCCTGGGTACGGCGTCCCCGCTGAGCTGCACACAGGGAAGGTGACAAGGGCTGGGGCAGAGGGGCAGGCAGGAATAGGAGGGTGGCAGCAGGATTCCATGGGGAGGGGACAAAAAGGCAGATAGTGCAGGCAGGGGATGCTGAGCCATGTAGGGGATACAGGGGCACTCCATGTGCATGGGGACCACTGGTGTGTGCCAAAGTGTATGTACAGGCAGAGGAATAGGGGTATTGGCTCCCTAGCTTTGGGCTGTGGCCACTTGCAGGCACGCATTGAAGGCACAAACCTTCCCAGGAACCTGTCTGGAAGGCAGAGAGCTGTACTGGCCCCAGTGGTGACCCCAATGGTGGCTGTTTTGGATTGTCTGGCCACAGTGCTGCTTCGGCCAAGCCTTGTCCAGCACGGTCCCAGGCGTGCAGGGAAGCAGGCAGTGAGCTGGAGCAGGGGCATGGGGGTATGGGACACCAGGGGGGTGGGTGGCTTCGGGGAATGGCAGGGACTCACCGCACCACTCGTCCACCCAGGTGAAGGCTTGCCGGTGCCCTATCAGCAGGATGTCCCGGATCACCTGTGACAGCGGCCCTCAGTACCCCACGCCTGTGTGGGCCCCACCGTGCCCTCGCCCCCTCACCTTGTGCACAAACTGTTCCACCCGCGTCTGCAGCCCCCACACCTCGAACTTGACGGTCACCAGCTTGTAGGAACACATGATGGGTTTGGTGTGCTGGCGCCAGCCCTCCCGCAGCGGCCCCCGGCCCGTCTTGGCTGAGCTGAAGAACCGGGGGTCCTGGGGCACAGAGTGGGGCTGTGAGCCGGGCAGGGGGTGGGGTCAGGGCACCCTCAGAACCCCGTTACCTCCAGGCTGCGGTAGTAGCGCTCGGGGATCTCATCAAAGGCGATGTCCAGGAAGGAGACCTCGTGGTCACCCAGGATTTTATCGCTGTGGAAGATCTGGGATGGGGACGGGGGGGGTGAGAGGGGATGGCAGCAACCACACGTGTTCCCCGCAATGAGTTTGCTGGGTCTCAGGGAAGGACACTTGAGGGACGTGGGCAGTGCCACTCACGTTCTCGCTATCCCCGCAGTTGTCCTCGTACTTGGTCTCAATGTAGATGGAGAACTTGGGCAGGAAGGAGCACTGTGGGGAGAGCAGCCAGGAGCTGCACCCTGAGGACACCCACCCCAGAGGAAAGGGACCAGGTCTCCCCATGCCAATCCCTTACCGTGTACTCTGCAGGGACACCGGCAGCACAGAGCAGCATTGAGGGGGGAGAAAAAGAGAAGTGAGTTTGTGCCAGGACCCTGCGGAGCCAGGCTGTGTCGAGTGCCCCGTCCTCACAACTGGGACTCACCAGTGATGGTGTAGGGGTAGTAGTTCCAGGCCTTCTCCGTGATGTAGAAGATGCGGGGAGTCACCGCCCGTGCCCAGCTGGGCAGCTTGCTGTGGGGGAAGGCAGCACAGGGTCGGTGCTGCCAGGAGGGCAGGGTGCAGCCCAGGAGCACGGCACAGCCCGATGCCATCCACCCCCACCCCGCCAAGCACAGCTCCTGGACCCCTCATCCCTTCTCCAGGAGTCCCATCGCCCCAGAACCCCCATCCCTGCCCCAGGCCCACTCCATCTCCCCACAGCCCGGTGCTCACGATGCTCCAGTCCCCACCCTGGGCTCTCACGGTGTGGGCTGCCTCCCTCCCAGCAGCGGGGAGCCGGGTGGTGGTTTTTTTTTGATTAATTTTCTGGTGTTATAAATAACATCCCGAGAGGAGAATCGTGAGTGCCGTGGCTAAAAATATCCTGTCTAACGCCAGTGGCTCCCTACTGGGGGAGCAGCCGGAGTGCTCTTGGCCACACGCCGCAGCTGGCGGCGGGGACACGGGGACAGCAGCACTGTGTGCCAGCAGCCACCCTGTGGCACCTGGGGCTGAATGCAGGGACATGGGGACACCCCTGGATCCCCGCTGAGCCGTGCATTGGGAGACGGTGCCATCCTTAGGAGATGGATGCACACCCCAGAGATGGGTGCAGCCCCTGGAAGATGGGGCTACTGCAGGAGATGAGCGCATCCCTGCAGCCCCCGAAGTTGGGTGCATCTCTCTAGAGGTGGCTGCAGCCTGGGTGATGCTATCCCCTGCAGATCTGGGGAGCAGGGACGGGGGCATGCACGATGAGGTCACAGCACAGCAATGTCTCCCGGCGTTCGGGCAGGTTGGGACCCCCATCCCTCCCCAGGCTGTATGCCTCACCTGGAGAGGTGGACACGCTTCTCGGTGAACTGCCCAGGGCCGTGCACGGGGTCCTCGTGGGGTTCGTTCCGCACCACCTCCACGCCCTCACCCTTCTCACTCTCCTGGTGGCTGTGCTTGCTGATGGTGTACAGCTGCCCCACGCGGTACTGCGGTGGACGAGAGGGGACGCTGAGCCCCAAAGGCACCAGGCACGGGGATGAGGTGTGCCAAGGGGTCCCAGGCTCGCACCCAAAAGTGAGAATTCTGTACCCAAAAGCTCGGTGCTCGCCCCCAGAGGGTGGCACGGGACCCCCACTGCTCACCTCCTCGGTGGTGAGTGGCATGCAGATGCGGTACTCCTTGACCAGCATGGTGGCGGGGTCACACGTGGGCACAGCTCATCCTGGGGGGACACGGTGCGTGGTGACAGCGGGGTGCCGGGCTGGATGCTCACGTTGGCGCCGGTGATTTCATGCGGCGTTGCTATGGCAGTGCCGTGAGGTCACCGGTACGAGGAGCTGCCCGGGTGTACCCCTGGTTGGGGACACCCCGATACCTCACAGCGTGCCTTAACCCCTTCCTTGCCGTGCAGCTGTCTTGGAGCACACCCCCAAACAGCACCACCCATGGGGGTGCTGCGTTCCCATCCAGTGACGGGTGGCATCATACTTGCTGGTGCCCGTGGAGACAGACCCCAAACACCCCAGTTCTGCTCCACCCGTGCCGTGTCCCCAAGAGGTCGGGGTTCCGTTGGGTCCCTTTCCGGGGTGACACTGGTCCCGGGTGGGGCACTGCCGGGCTGTCCCGCTCCCCCCAGCCCCATGGAGTACTCCATCCGCAGGAAACACGGCGGGGACACGGTGAGGACACAGCCTCACGCAGTGACCCCGAGCTGACTCAGACCTGCCCCTCCGGGGGTGGCGGATGGGGTTGTCCGGGCGCGACTGGTCCGGCCGGGGACACCGGGGAACACAGGGACATCCCGGGGGTTTCCAGCTGATGGGGAAGAAGCCGCCCCTCATCCGCGCGGGCTGACACAGCGACAGCGACAGAGGTGGCCGTGGCGTGTGGCACAGCCGCGTGATAGCGGGACAGCCCGGGGACCACCGCGCTGCCTCCCGCCGCTCACCGGGACGGAGGGTCCGGGGGCTCCATCGCCTTTCCCCGCCACCCGCCCCTCGCATCTCCCGGGCAGCGCCCGCCGCCTTCGGGGCTGTGAGTGGGGGTCCCCGCCCCGGCCCCGCCGCACTCACCCGGGTCCTCGCCGGTTCCGTTCCCCGCTGCCCGGCTCCCCGCCGTGTCCCGGCCGCCCCGGGCCGTGCGCAGGAGCTGCCGCCTCCCGCACCGCCGTTCCGGCGCACACCGACCCCTAGGGGGAGGAATCCGCCGCGCACCGGCACCGCTCCGCCACTGCACCGGCACCGGGAAGCTCCATAGCACGGCGCAGCACGGCACCGGTGTGCCCTATAGCGCGGCACTGGGCTCCCTATAGCGTGGCATTAATGCTCCCCATACTATGGCACCAGTTCACCCAGCAGTATGGCACCAGTGCTCCCCATAGCATGGCACAGCGTGGCACAGGGACTCCCCATAGTACGGCACAGAATGATGCCAGTTCTCCTCATACCATAGCACCAGTTTATCCTACAGCATGACACCAGTCCTACCCATAGAATGGCGACGGGGCTCCCCATAGCATGGCACTGGGGCTCCTCGTGGCACAGCATTGGTACTCCCCATTACATGGCACCAATTCATCCCATATCATGGTATCAGTCCTCCCCATAGCATGGCATTGGTGCTCCCCATAGCGTGACACCAGTGCTCCTCATGGAATGGCGTTGGTGTTCCCCACAGCAGAGCACCAGTTCATCCCATAGCACGGCACCAGCCCTCCCCTATAGCAGTGGGGCTCCCCATAGCATCGCATTGATGCTCCCCGTAGCGTGACACCAGTGTTCCTCATGGCATGGCACCAGGTCAACCCATAGCATAGCATCAGTCCTCTGCATAGCATGGCATTGGTGCTCCCCACAGAATGGCACTGGGGCTCCCCATAGCACAGCACAACAGAACACTGGTAAGCCCCAACCCAACATCATCTGCTGCCAGTGCTCTGTGCGCCCACGAGGGCTCAGCAGGTCCTGGTAGCACCACACGCCCTGTGCTATGCCACATCCCCAGTGCCTCCCAGTGCCCACCCCCCAGCCCAGCCCCTACCTGCACTCCAGCCTCACCGTAGCTGATGTGCCACCACCACAAAGCACTGCAGCTCCTCACCAGCACAGCTGCCACGTGCTGCCGTGCCTTTCCTCCATGAATTTCAATCAACTCCAGCCCTAAAAATAGCTCTGCTCAGTGCTGGGCAGGGCTGAGCTGGGGTGTGCGGCTTTTCCTTTATTTGCTCAAAAAATTTCTGCCTTGGGAGGCTGTGAGTGGCTCCAGTGGGACCTGCTGGGAGGAGGGGGGGAAGGTCAAGCAGTGCTGTCCCCACAAGAGGACATGGCCATGGGATGGGAGGTGATGTGGACAAGGTGCTGGAGCGATGGTGGTGGCACTGGGGAAGGAGCAGGTGGAGCCTGCGAATGGGCGCTGACAGCAGTGCAGAGCCTGGGGATGCAGAATGTAGGGGCACAGCACGGCTTGGGGACAGCGTGGGGACACCCTGGGTGCCCAGCACACATCCGGGAGTGCAGTGGAGGGTGCCCTCCCTGCTGGGCACCTCCCTGCTCTGCATCCTTCTTCCCGGAGTGCCACCGTGCTGTGCCACACCCAGAGGGACTACAGGGCCATGGGTGGCACTGTGTGTGTCCCCAGGCAGGGAACGTCCTGGTTCCACCGCCACGGAGTAACGCATGCATGGCCATGCAGCCAGCGTGCCCTGAGCAATGGGGCTCCCACCCCGGTGACAGCACAGTCAGTGCTCAGGGATCTGGCCCCCCCAGCAGCTGCATTCCTCCCAAACCCGTTCCACAGGACCCCGTGCAGGTGCCAAGAAAAGGCAGCCAGCTTGGGTTTTTCCTGATTGTGCCCCACTGACCTGCAGTGGGTGGGAGAGAGGAGGAACCCGGTGCCCCCCTGACCCTGCCCAGCCGCTCAGGGCTGCTGTGGGGCAGCGCTCCCACCCACAGCCAAAGGGGAAGAAAGCAGAGAGGCAGAAAAAAGCAAAAAACGACCCAATTTAATCCCAAACCCCCCCCCCCCCCCCCGACCCCCAGAGCACCCAGCACCCCATACGGCTGGTGGGATGGAGCTTTCCGAGGCATCGGCCTCTTCCTCAGCTCTACATTCCCTGGCCCCACACGGCACTGCATCCCACAACCCCCCATCCCTTAGGAAGGGGCCCTGATGAAGACCATCCTGGTGGAGTAGACGAGGTCCACGAGATAGGCGAGGAAGTTGAAGATGGTAAGGAAGGTGACGCCAAGGCTCTTGTTCCACCAGCAGTTCGTACTGCAGGGATCGGGCCGGCTGCGGCCGTTGAAGCTGTACAGCGGCCATATGATGACAGCAGTGAGGTACATCAGCATGGCCAGAGCATTGTAGGCCACCAGCACCTTCTCCAGCGGGCAGGGCATGTAGCTGAGGCAGCGGCCGATGGTTAAGAGGATGATGAGGAGCGTGATGATGAAGCAGATGGAGTAGACGGCCACACACCACTGCAAGCCGGCGTAGGAGCTGTAGGAATCCAGCAGGGAGAAGATGAGGCAGGCGACGTAAGCCTCGAACACCTTCAGCAAGCCGGGCACGGTGGAGAGGAAACTGCTGATGTCCCCCGGGCGGGCGCGGGTGAGCCCCACCTCGAGGGCGTAGGCCAGGAAGCAAAGGCAGGACATGGCGGTGGCAGCCGCCTGGCGTGCGCAGCGGGCACCCGTACAGGGGCTGGAGATGAAGGCGGACGGGAACACCACGGAGCTGGTGAACACCATCAGGGCTGCCAGCATGGCGAAGGCAGCCGTCAGGTCGTCCCAGGAGACGGGCAGCTTGGGGGGCAGCTCCAGCAGCTCCAGCAGCAGCACCAACAGCGTGACGGCAAAGCAGAAGCACCAGGTGAACATGCACCACGTCCCGTAGGGCCCGCTGAAGTAACCGGTGGAGGCCACCAGGCTGAAGGAGAGGCAGGACAGCAGGACGGCGAAAAGCCGTGCGATGCCCACCCAGGAGGTGACGGCCCTCCAGTTCACCGACACCACCGCCATGGCTGCGTCGTGCCTGTAGGGCTGCCGGGACTCAGGGCGGGGCACCGGGCCCCCCGGCCCCACTGCTGCCACCAGCACGGCACAGCCAGCTGTGGGTGGATCATTAATAAGGGGCTGAGCCTTGCAGATCGAGCCGGGGGGGGGGCAGGGTGCTGGCAGCCAGCCAGCGCCCTGCCCTGGGGCGGGGGCAAAACGCGGCCTCCTGAGCTCCCCAACAGCTCCCAGCAGACCCCACGCCGTGCCATGCGTGAGCAAGGGGTTGGGATCAGGAACGACTCCCCCCTTAACCTGGCACACCCCCCCTTCCCCCACCACCCATCAGGACGTGCCCATCAGGGAGCGGTTGGGTGTAGCTCCGCACCCCTGGGTGCCACCTCCTGGTGCGGCCGCAGCCGATAAGAGGCTCAAAGTCCGGGCGCCAGCGGGGTGGTGGCAGGGAGTCCTGCTGCCACCTGTAGGGCTGTCAGCACAGAGGGTGGCACTGCGGGATGGCGGATGCTGAAGGTTCTGTTTTCACCTTTAATGTTGAGCGGGCTCCGGGCGTCTCAGCAGAGCTCGGGGACACCCCGGGAGCCCCCTCTGTTTGTCCTCATGGGCTGGGGCGGCTGCAAGCTGAGGTGGCACAGTCACTGTGGGGTGGGGGCCAGGTGCTGCCATGGGGTCGGGCCCCAGGGCTCAGAGGTTGCTCTCGTCCCCATCCTCATCCCTGCCTGGCAGCCCGTTGTTGGAGCTCGGCGCTGGCCGGTTGCTCTCGTTCAGCCGCCGCACGCGGTAGCTCTCGTAATGCACGTTGTGGGTGATGTCCTTGAGGTCCTGCAGGTGGGACCTGCCCAGGGAGCAAGGCATCATGTTACTCTCATGCACCCCTTGCAGCTTCGGGGCGCCCAGAGCCAGCTGCCCAGCCCGGGGTGCTCTGAGGTGTGACCCCGACCCCGGCTCACCGGATGAGCAGGTCCCGCAGCATGGGGAACTCACAGTGTGCCGGGTTCTCCACTGCAAGGCAAGGCAGAGAGCTGTGGGGTCGGCTCTGTGCCGTGGGGACAGCACCCACCATGCAGGGGTGCACCTCTGGGCGCTGCTCCCCGCGAGGTGCCCTGGTGCCAGCCCGGTCCTGTTCCTTGGGGACACTGTGAGCTGCCCTTACCTTCGATGATGCCCCACTTGGTCTTGCGGCCCAGCACCCTTTTGCCATTCACCTGGTGCTCCTGGTCCGCCCCCACCACGGCGAATGGGATCTTCTCCTTTGGGATCCAGGGAACAAGGTCACCCCAGGGTGCCCCCACGCTCCCCCCTGCGCCAGCCTCCCAACACTCACCCGGATCCTATCATTGAGCAACCGGTCGTCTGGGTCCTCATCGAAATCCTCCTGTGGGTACACGCTGATGGCGTGGGCCTTCAGGTCCCGTTGGATCTGCAGGACACGGGGTGTAAGGGGCTGCCAGACAACAGCAGGGGGGCAGGAGGGCCAGGAGCCCCCTGTGCCTCCCCTCACCCGCTGCTTGAACTCCTCCCGCTCCTCCAGAGTGAGCGTGTCAGCCTTGGCAATCACCGGCACCACGTTGACGATCTTGCTCAACCTCCGCATGAATTCCAGGTCGAGGGGACGCAGCCTGGTTGAGGGGGGGACAGCTGTCACCTTGCCACCCCTTGGCAGCACCCATGGGTGCGGGGTCACCGCCGTGGCGCTCACCAGTGCCCCGTGGGGGGGATGAAATACACGCAGCCGTGCACCCGGCTGTCCGGGATCTTCCTCTTGCGGGTGATGAGGATCTCCTCGCGCAGGTACCGCTCGTACTGCTCGTTGATGTACTTGATGATGGGCTCCCAGCTGGGTACAGGGGATGGATCAGAGCAGCCCCGTTGGGGTTTAGCCTCTCCCAAATGCCACCACAGTGGCCGTTTCCTACCAGTTGTCGTTGTTGATCTGGTCCCCAAATCCTGGCGTGTCCGTCACCGTCAGCTTCATCTTCACACCCTTCTCCTCGATGACTGTGGGATCAGAGGGATCCATGCATTAAAGAGAAGCAGGAGACCGAGGTGGGGGTCCCTTCCATCTCACTCACCCCCCCATCCCCTCCCTCTCCCATGGCTTTGTGGACACATTGGTGACCTTACCATGGGTGACTGATTGCAGCTGCACCGTCTTTGGGATGCGCTCCTCCTGGCCAGGCTGCGAGGCTTTGCGGCTCACCTTGGACTTGAAGAGGGTGTTCACCATGGTGGACTTCCCCAGCCCGCTCTGCCCTGTGAGGACATGGACGGCTCCACGTTGTCCCCTCCCATGCATTTATAACTCCCCACCATAGCTCTGCTTGGGAGCACCCCAATCCTGCAGGACAAAGCTGGGACGCCCAACTCCTCGCGTGCAGGGAGCACAGCCACGCCACCGCACTATGAGACCCATCCTTCTTCAGTCTCTTGTTGCTTCAGTCTCCCCAAAGCCTGAGTTCCCCAACTCTCTGCCCACACGGTGGCATCAGATTCCCAGCAGCCAAACCCTGCAGGCGCTCACCGACAACCATGATGTTGAATTCAAAGCCCATCTTCATGGTCTTCACCTTCATCTGCTCGAGCACGGCCTCGATCCCCACGTACCCAAACAGCTCGTGCACCCCACGGTCAGGGGGCAACTCTTGGGGCACGGCCGCTGCCTCCATGCTGCGCTCCTGGGGCTCCAGGCTGCTCCCTGTGCAGAGTGAACACAGTGTCAGCAGGACACCCCAAAACCAGCACCTAGCACACTACCATTCCCAGGAGGACAGCCGGATGCCTTCGGTGCTGCTCACCCTGCTGCCGTTGCCCCAGCAGCAGCCACGCCAGTGGGCACACAGCCCCGGCGCATTCCTGGCAGCCGGCGAGGTGAAGCACGGCAACGGGGCATGCCACCTCCTGGCACCATGGGGACGAGGCTGTCCCTTAGTGGCATCACTGGGGCTCTGCCAACATCCTGGTGCCCACAGCCACCTGTGCCCTCCATCGTGCCCCCCGCAGCTCCACAAGCGGTGGTGTCACCAGCACGGCCACCAGCACCGCCTCCCCGGTGAACACCTCGCCTCACAGCCTTGGTGCACACAGGGGGATCTGGGCATGGCACACGATGTGTCACTCCACATCGCTCCCGGCACTGTGGCAGCACTGTGGTGCTGGTGCTGACACACAGCTGACCCCGAGGAGGTGACAGTGGGTGACAGTAGCGGTGCCATCGCAAGGCCACCAGGTGACTAGCAGCCTGGCAACCACAAGGCATGCAGCCGAGACCCCCGCCCCAGCCTTTGTGTGGTGGCTGAGGGCCCCCAGAGCTGTCTGTTCCCCTCCTCCTCCCCCTCCTCCTTCCCTCCTGGCACAGCCATTGTTTGGGTCCTACCTCTGTGATGATGCGCTGTCCCCACTCCCACACAGCCTCCTGAGGATGAGGCTGTCCCCGGTCCCTGTCACCGCAGCACTGCAACCTGGTCCCAACCCTACTGGGCTCAAATACAGGCTGCAGCCCGGCTGCTCCTGCACATGCCCAGCATGGCAATAACCCAGCCTCCCCGCCTCCCCTCCTCTCCCACCCATGCACTGAGTTTGCCCATTCTACGCTCAGCCCCAAGCCCCGCCAGCGGCAATGGGAACCTCAGCACAGTGACACCCTTTCCTCCAAGCGTCCCCCCATCACCCCAGCACCCATCGCATGGGTGTCCCGGCTGCACAACTCCAGGTCTCCAAAGGGCAAGGGGAGCACGCGCTGTCACCCACCTGGCATTGGGGGTTCAGGCACCGGGGACCCCCACGCCCAGCACTGCCCACCCCGATGCCGCAGTGCCCCACGGCGCCTGCGTCCCCCGGCCCACGCTGCAGCCTCCCTGCATGGCACATATGTGCCAGCCCATTTCTTGGCACCAGTAAGGCTCGGGCGGCAGCTTGCCGGCACAGCCATGTGCCATGTGGCCTGGAGACGAGGGACACGCAGCACCTGGCCTGAAGATGCTGGGAGGTGGATGGAGCAGACATGCAGAAATGGCATTTCAGAGTGGGGGCCCGGGCACCCCGTGCCCACTTGTGGGTGCCAGACCACAACTAGAGCTGGGGACAGCAGCAGCTGGGATGGGATGCCCTGGTGACACCACCCCAGGGTGCTCCCAGGGGGAAGATGTTCCCCTCCAAACCTGACACAGCCCAGCACGAGCCGGGCTCCGGCTGCCCGCAGCACCCTCCCACTCAGCTGGGGCTTTCCTCGGAAATGTCAAAACACCAGGACTTCCTGGTGACAGCAGTGACACCCACTTGGCCGGGGGGGGGGTGGAGGGGGGGAGGTGGTGGCAGGGCGCTGCCTGCAGGGCCCTATCCTGTCCTGCCCACCACTCAGCACAGCACCCAACCCCCCATGCACCCACCGCAGCATCACGGTCACCAGGACAGATCCGGAACCGAGTAACAGAGCTACTGCTGTGTTACCCCACTGTCCCCCCCGCGGCCACCACAGAGTGCTACCTGCTCACAGCACAGCCCTGCGCATCCCCTTTCATCCTCTGCTCCTCAAACCCACCCCAAGCAGCAGACCCCCTACCTGCCCCTCACGCCTCCTCACCGCTGGGTTGCGAGGTGCCCACGTCCTCCCAGGGTGGCACCCACACCAGGCTCCCAGCACGGCCGTCACCTCCCACCCTGTGCTGTGCTGTGCCGAGCCGTGCCGATGGCAAAGCCAAGCAGACACAAACATTATCCCTTCATGTGGCCCCGGATAATGGCTCCCTGCAGACAGACCTGTTCTGGGCTAATTGAGGAGGGTTTATTTTCCAGGCTGGGACGGGTAAACCCGGGTTCGTGGTCTCCCAGCATGGTTTAATTACTGATGCGGCGTTAATCGGCATGTTGGCCGGGAAGTCTGTAATAAGCTCAGGGGGTGGAGGTGGGCAGGAGGGGATGGGAAAGGAGCGCGCATCGCCAGGACTGCGGCCCCGTGACCCAGAAGCTCCGCTGCACAGATGAAGTGCAATGGGGTGCGGGTCCCCAGCCCACAGAAGAGCCTGAAGTGGCCATGCCGCAGTGGCGGTGCCACTCACAACCCGACGGGACAGCAGCGACGGTTGTCCCCATGGCCAGAGATGCAAGCAGAGCCGCAAGCAGAAGCAGAAGTGAGAGCGCAGGGCCCTGCCGTGTCAGTGGGGACTGAAATCCGGCAGTGACATCGAGCGGCCCCACGCCACACACCAAGGGACCTGCACACCCACCCTGCCCTTCGCCCCGCGCCCTCGGCCACCCCTACCTTGCTGCACCACGAGCCGGTCACCGCTCACCGGCCGAATAACTCCTGGGGTGCAGGCAGGAGGAGGCTGCAGCCCACGGCCCCTCCTCCGCTCCTCCTCCTCCTCCTCCTCACCCCGGGGCGCTGCGTGGGCGCTGGGTGGAAGTGAAACGGGGCGGCCGTGGAGCGAAGCTCGGCGCTTCCTGAAAAGAGGAGCGCGCCCGGGAGCGCACCGTCCCCGTCCCGGCGCCTGCCCGCTGCCCTCCGGCTCACGCCCACACCGTGACCCATCCCATCCCGTCCCCAGCACCCGAACCACTGTCCCCAGCGTGTCCCCCAGCGCGGGCGCTGCCGGGCCGGCTCGGTCACGGGCATTGCTGCCGCATGATTCACGCAGCCCCGAGCGGAGGGATGGATGGAGGGATGGAGGGATGGATGCCTTTGCGCGCGTCAGTACTTAAAGCCGCGGCGACGGCGGCATGCGAGACACCTGAGAGAGACAGCAGTGCTCCCCAGGCACACAGACAGCTCTCCCCAGGCACACAAACAGGCGGCCACCGTGGCGTCCTGCCCCGAGGACGGCAGTGCCCTGGGGATGGATGGGGATGCAGCTGAGCCTGGTGCCTTGTGGCCCCGTGCTGTGACCGGGCTCCCCAGGGCAAGGGGATGGAGGGGAACATGGGGTGCTGCCAGGCTGCATGGTGGCTCTTGAGCAGGGCACGGTGCCACTCATTGCCACCAACAGCCACACATTCAAGTGGCACCTGGAACACGTGGCCATCACACATCTCCACTATCATGAAAGCAGCAACCAGCACGGGAACAACGTGGAGATGGGAGCAACGGCTCAGGGATCCTGAGAGGCTTTGACTACTGTGACCACATCCCCACCACCACCAGTCCCCAGCACCAGCAGTGGTGGCACGAGGTGGCAATGTCACACCCAGAGAAAGGACAGAGTCCTACCGTGCTCCAGTGTCACCGTGGCACAGCATCCATCTGCAGCCTGGCCGAGCCCTCGTGGCATCACCAAGCAGCTCCCCACGGTGGGGCCGGTGCTGCCGATGTTCCTCAGTGCCAATGGGGCGCCTGGCCCCAGCACCACCCCGCCGAGGAAGGCAGGCTGGGAGCTCACCTGCACCGTCTGTGGCTGTGACACCAGCTTGAAGGGTGCAGCTGGGGGGAGCAGCCCCTCCCCGGGGCCGGTGGCTGCAGTGACAGCCAGGGGGGTCGGGCGAGCCAGGCAGGGGCTGGCACTGAGACTGACCCTGAGCTGGGTGCGGGGCAGCCCTGGGGCCATCTCACCACCTGAGGAGGAGGAGGAGGAAGGCAGGCGGGTGTGGAGCAGGGCAGAGGGGCTGTGGGCACCCCATGGCTGTGTGGGGTGTGGGGCTGGCAGGGGGATTCCTGGCTCCTCGGCGATGTGCAGGTCCAGTGCTGGCAGCGAGCTGTGCCCGGCGGCCACATGCAGGGAACATTCTGCTTCCACTGGGAAGACGCAGCCGTGCGATGGCACTTTCTTCAAGCAGGAGTCGGCAGCCAGGGAGGCTGCAGGAGGCTGGGGGGCCGCGGGGCTCTCCAGGCTGGAGCTGGAGCTGCGCAGGCTCTCACCGTCGCTGCCCGGCCCCGTGTGGCTCTGGAAGGAGGTGATGCTGCCAGGAGCCCGGCCAGCACGGTGCTGACCCCGCAGCAATGGGCTGTGTGGTGCAGGGCCGGGCTGCAACACCCGGTGGCTCTCGGTGGCACTCACAGACAGCAGCGACGCAGTGGGGGATCTGGGAGCATCACCTGCATCCTCTGCCTCGAACGACTTCTTGAGGGCTGGGGAGAGACGGAGAGGTTGTGAGGGCAGCACTGGGGCTCGGTGGCACTGCAACTTTAGGGGCTCCCCCCGTGCACCGGGTGCCAAAGGGCAGTCTGTGAGCCCAGCCCAGATGGGAAACCAGATCGGTGCTGCCGGCCCCTCGGCTTTGTTCCCCAGCACTTATCTGTGGGTTGGTGCCGTGGCTCCCGGCTCCCCGCACCGCACAGTGCCCGCTTTATTCCCCTGTAAGGGATCCGGCCCCACGTAACCAGATCCCTGCCCAAGCTGCTGCTCTCCCCCCTCATTCAGCACAGCTCAGCGCAGGATCCCTGCCTTATTCCGGTGCGTTAACCCTGAAGCCTACTGATGGCACAGCCATCAGATGGCACTCCCACCCTACAGCCGTACAGCCCCTGCCAGGAGGGCTCTGACCCTCCACCACAAGCAGGCAGATGCATACAGGAGGGTCGGGACCCGCGCTGTGTCCTGGGGCTGAACGCTCCTCGTGCTCCCCCAGTCCATTCGCAGCCCTTTGGGCACATCGGGACACTCCACTACTCTGGAAGCTGCTCTCCTCTGGCTGCAGCGCCGCGGTGGGTCTACATGGAGGGACCCCCCCACCCCCATTAACCCCTCCCACAGGCAGGAAGCGGCAGTGCGGCCCCCCCGGGAACTGCGCTCCTGCCAGATCCGCCCCAGCGGCTCCGTTTGGTGCCGGCTCCCCACGGAGAGCGCCGGGAGCTGAAGCTCCCACGGAGCCCCCCCACCCCCCCGCCGCTCTGCCGTGTGTGCAGCACGAGGCCTCGTCAGCAGCGGGTGATGGGAACGGGCACGGGGAGCGATGGGGATAAGGGAGAAATGGGGACCTGAAGTGATGGGCACAGGGGATGATAAGGACCCAGGGGTAATGGGGATGATGGGGACTTGGGGGACGATGGGGACCCTGGGCAAAGAGGCCGAGCTGGGGCTCGGTGCCCCGTCCCCTCCCCAGGTCACCGCCCTGTGCCCGGGGCTGGGCACAGGGGTCAGGGGTCGGGGCGGGGGTGATGCTAATAACAGCTCTGGGCCGGCAGGTATGTTCCAGCCCGGGGCTGCCGGGGAGGGCGGTGGAGAGAGACAAGGGGTTCTGCACCCTCCCCTTCCTCGCGTTTCTACCACCGCTGAACCCCGTGCCCCCCCCCGGTAGGTGCTGCATTCCTCCCGCCGAGGGCAGCAGCCGCCCCAGGTCGGATTTCTCCGCCCGCTCCTCCCCGAGCTGCCCCTTCCCGACCCCGGCGAGCGGCGGAGGGGGGGACTTGGGGGGGGGGGGGGGGGGGGGGGTGGTGGGGGAGGAAAGGAAAAAAAAAAGGGGGGGGGAGAAAAGACAAACACACACCCCAAAAAAGCCAAGTCTCGCTGTTGCCGGATCCCCCCTCTCCCCCGTCAAAGCTGCCCAGCCCCGTTCGGTTGTACAGAGTGGGAGAAGCCCACGCGGGTCTCGGGATGCACGCGTGGGGCGGTGCAGAGACACACATGGACCATCCAGACCATTCACACACGTACGTACACGCGGAGATACACGCGGGGAGAGCCTTTCACGCACCCACGGGGAAACGCGGCTGCGGGTGAGGCTCGGGGCGGGGGGTCCCGACCTCACCTTCGAAGTCGCTGAGGATCCCGTCCAGGTGCTCCTTCACCGAGAGCCGGGCCATGGGCGGGGGGTGGACGCGGGGCCGCCCCGCATGGGAACCGCAGAACGGAGCGGAGCCGGAGCGGAGCAGCGGATCGGGCCGGGACGGCGGCGGCTGCCTCGGGTTGTGCGGGAGAGGAGCGAGAGGAGGAGGAGGAGGAGGTGAAAGAGCGGGAGGAGGAGGGGAGGGCTGCAGGGGGGCGGGGGCGGCGGGGGGAGGTACTGCCCGCATCCCGCCCCGGCCGGATCCCCCCCACCCGCATCCCACAGGCGTGGCGTTGCCGGCTGGTTCCGGGGGGTCCCGTCCTCTCCGGCCCCATCGCGATGCTGCGGCCCTTTCCCCTCTCTGAAAGCCACGGGCAGAGCTGGGAATCCCCTCCCCGGCCCCACGGAGGGCAGCAAAGGGGTCTCCGACCTGCAATCCCCCTCCCCCCCCCTCCAAGGGTTGCTCCCAGCGCCCACCCAACCCGGCTCTGTTGGCTGTGGGAGGGGGGGAGATGTGAGGACTTGCTGTACTCGCAGTGATTTCCTGCTTGGAAAAGAGGAGAAAAGTGTGAATTTCAGGCTGTGCATTTAGGGCTGGGGTTTGCTGGGCGTTTGGGTTTCCATGGTGCTGCATCCTGGAGCATCTTTGTCCTTGTCCTTGTCCCAGAGCATCCTTGTCCTGCATCCAGGAGCACCCACGGGGACGAGCCAACCGATCCAACTCTGCCACACTGAGCAGGGAGCAGAGAGCTCCAAGACAATTCCTGCAGCCCTCAGTGAGTTTTGGAGCCACGATTGTTCTGCAAAACCATAAACCTATGATGGGTAAACGTGTTCATCTATTAGGAACGACATTTGGGGCTCTCCAATGGCACAGAGGTGGGCTGGGACCCAACACTGGCGGCTGCTGATACGGCCCCACAGCCACCCCAAGGGGGATTCGGGGAGCACTGGAATGCAGAGATCTCTGCAGCGCCGCTGGAGAAGGTCCATAGCATTCAGCATCCTTTGCAGGAGGGGTCCCAGAAGGGTCTGGAGGCATTTCTGGGGCCTCACAGAGGGCTTGGGAGCACTTGAGACCTCGCAGGGCCCTTCAGAGGAAGGCTTGGAGTGCTTTCGAGCTGCTGCAGGATATTTCTTTCGGTGCGTTTTCAGCTACTTCAAGGAGTTTCAGAAGAGTTTGGAGGAGCTTGAGAGCTGCTTGGAGCGCTGTTGGCTTTTGGGGCCACGCGGGGGGAGGTTCCTGGGGCAGCCCAGGTGCTCAGTGGATCTGCAGGGTTGGAATCACTCGGGGCTTTTTGGGGCTCCCCAAAGTGCCGAGCTGATTTTAAAGCTGATTTTTTTTAGAAGAGAAAATAATCCTGGCACCCTGCAGAGCTGTTGGGGCCCTTTAGGGATGCTCGGGGAGGTTCTGGAGCAGCAGCTGGGAGCAGGATGGAGCGGTTTGCAGCAATGCAGAGGGGATTTTGGAGCCCTTTGGGGCAGCTTGCAGAGGCTCAGAGGAGGCACAGAGATGCGCACAGCTCAGCAAGAGGGTTTTAGGGCATTTCCCGACCCAAGAGTGGGATTTCTAAGTCAGTAGAGTGGTTGGAGGAGCTCACACGGCACCCAGCAGGCTGCAGGCGAGGGAAGCTCCATGTCCTCACTTACATCCCCATAGGGCAGCAGGCAGGACACGGGGACAAGAACTGGCTCTGGAAGTCCCTATGCCCATCCCCAGTGCCTTGTGCTCCCCCTGATCCCACCCCACAGGTCCCACAAAGTCACAGCAAGGAAGAGCCGAGGACAGGAATGGTAACAGCATTTAATGGGACGAGAATCAATACATCATTTAAGACAATACTGCTTTCACCCTTTTGGGACTTCCTTCACATACCGGTGGGGAGAGAGGAAGGTTTTCAGGAAGGACAGGTCGGTGTGGTTTTGTTTTTGTTTTTGTTTTTTTTTCCATAGGGGCTTTAAAGCATGGTGAATGTGCAAGTCAGTGCTTTGTTTGCTTAAAACCTTTTCCTGGTGCTTATTTACAGTTACAGTACCTCTTTGTGAGCGACAGGAAAAAAAGACGATTGTAGGAACTGGGGATCGGTGACCCCAAGTCGAGAAAGGCAGATCTCCAATATTTATATATTTATACATATATATATATATATATATGCTTTTGTGTTATACACAGATACATTTCTCTCTTCTTTTAAAGTATTAAAAAAATGATCAACCTTCGTTCTATAAAAATACCTACTCTACAAGATAGAAAAATTTCCCTCTCCATGTATACACTGATTTACACCCAAAGCTTCTCTGGAAATGTACACGACGTGGCTCCATCCCCAGGCTGGGTGCAGGGCTGTGTCAGATGGCCGTGCTGTGGGGACACGGCGGTGGCTCTGGGCTCAGCTGCAGGGACAGCCCCTGGCTGACCCACGACACAGCGATGCGCTCGGAAGCATTTTGGGGGTCGCTGCTGCTCCCCTGTTTTTTGGGCTGCATTGATGTTTCTGAAGCTTGGCTAGCAGGAGAAACAGCTGCTCTGTGGGCCTGGTGCAGCGAGAGATCCTGGGGCAGTGGGATGAGTGGCTGCTCCCACGGATGTACCTCGCTGCGGTCACCACGAGCTGCCCGCCGTGAGCGTGATCTGTGCTTCCCAGCCAGCTGGCACTGAGTTCAGAGACCTCCTGCCCCTGGCAGCACAGGGATGGGCGATGCTGGGTGTGCTAAGAGCTCAGAGCAGCCACCCCATCCCTATCCCCAGCACAGGGTGAGGAGCGGGTTCTCCCTCCGGGATCACAGCCATCACCAGCAGAGCCCCGTTCCGTGCTGGGATGCTGGGGCAGCACACAGAGCTCAGCCCTCACACCACCACCTTCGCCCCAATGCCTGCAAGCAGGATGGAGGGGACGGCTCTGCCATGAGCTGCGCGGACCCTGCAGCAACATCCCACCCTGGAGCCATGGGAGCAGAGGGCAGCGAGCCACAGACAGCGAAATAAATAAGGAGGTGGGTGACACTGCACCCACACCCTGTCCCAAGGATGGCTGCTCCCCTCTCCGTGCCACCAGCAAGTGAGAAGCCAGCGCGCTCCGTGCACGCGACCCGTTCCCAAGCAAAAGCAGCAGGGCAAGGATTAACTGCGCCAGCCGGATGAAGACATTTGCATTAAGTTAATTAAAAAATAATAATCATCACCATAATTCTACAAGTCCAGGACGTGTTTCCCTCTTTCCCACATCTGCCCCGGTGAGTGAGTGTGTCACGGACACTTTGGCAAAGCAGACACCCAGGCTGGGTAGGGCAGCTGGGGAGGGGGGGGGGAACGTTCCAGCTCCATCCCGACCCCTGCAGTTCAGAGGAAGCCCTCCTCACACCCGTGCGGGGCCGTCCCAAATCCTTCCCACGGTTGCCCCGTTGCCTCCATTTCTCCTCCAGGTTCCCTTTCGCCCCTCGAAGCTGGGTAGGGTTGCAAAAGAACGGAGTCAGACAACAGAGCCTCACTGCTGGCTCTCTGCCCCGCTGCTGCGCCGCCTGATTCCCCACCGATCCGACGCCACGTTTCCTTGGGCCTTCATCAAGAGCAAAGACTGTTGCGAGTCCCTCTTCCTCCTCTCAGAGCACCAAATCCACAGCCATGGCAGAGTGCGCAGCGCGCAGCTCTTGGCCGCCCTTACTTCACCTCCAGGATGGAGGGGTTGGTCTCCATGATGGCCACGATGATCCTGTCGATGTAGTCCTGCAGGCGGAAGTTGATCTCCTCTTGCTTTTGAATTGCTTCCATGAGCTGCGAGGGAGAGAAGGGAGAAGTGGTCGCTGCTGCCTGGGGATGGGAGGAGGGCATCGTTCCATGACTCCACGGGGAGGAGATGCCCTCAGCCAGCAGCCCTGCTCAGCCCTACCCCTGGACTAGAGGTCTCCAGGGCAGCTGTCCCAGCTGCTGGGCTGTTAATGCAGCTGCAGACACACACACACACACACACACACACACTTGTGTTTGCTGATCCAGCCCAGGAAGCGAAGGCAAAGCAGTGCCACAAATTGGAAGGCAGCAGAATCCCCTATTCCCATGAATTAGGGCAAGTCGTAGAATCATCACAGAATCCTGCAATGCCCTGGGTTGCAAAGGAGCACAGCGCTCATCCAGTTTCAACCCCCCTGCTGTGTGCAGGTCGCCAACCAGCAGCCCAGGCTGCCCAGAGCCACATCCAGCCTGGCCTCGAATGCCTGCAGGGATGGAGCATCCACAGCCTCCTTGGGCAACCTGTTCCAGTGCCTCACCACCCTCTGGGTGGAAAACTTCCTCCTAATGTCCAACCTAAACCTCTCCTGTCCAGTCCCAAACGCTCTTTAAATCATTGTGTTGTCTCATGACAGCTCCCAGGTGGGGTTTTGGAGAGAACTGTACTGCAGCCATGGCCACATGGGCTCCTGTTTGCTGGGTGGGAAGGGGAAGCCCCAGGCACCCCAGGGAGACGCGGTCAGAAAGAAGCAGCTCCCTGTGCACGCACCTCATCTCTGGAGACTGAGCTGATCTCTGCCGCCAGGGATTCAGAGAAGGAGGCTGAGAAGAGGTTCTTGGCTCCCTGGATGCTCAGGTTGATGATCTGCCCGTTCAGCTCATCGTTCTGCTCCTTCAGGCTCCTGTTATCCTGTTCACAACAACCACACGTCAGGTGCTGCCTGGTGCCCCCAAACACATCCATCCAACCCCACTGCACAGCTGGGAAAGGCAGGGGCTTTGCAGGGCACTGGGAACAGCACACGTTCTCCTGACTGTGACTGGAGAGCCTCTGGAAATATGGGACAAGTCTAGGGGACACAGCATGCATGGGTCCTACATACACACAACGCCCTTCAGAGGAAGAATCTGAGCTCTCCTGTCCCTGCACAGGGGAGCAAGAAGCAACAAGATGCTCCATGCATGAGCAGCTCCTGGGAGGGAGAACCCCACCAACCAAGGAGCCAGGCCAAAAGGGGAAACAGCATCCCTTATTGCAGAATGTTTCCTCCCCCTTCCCAGCCTCACCTACCTGCTTAAGCTGCTTGATC